GTTGAGTTTCGATTTCACATTTTTTGGCCATTCTCACACCTGTGCATTGTTACAATGCTTTTCTTAACAGGAGGTTTCTTCCAATTTTCTTACGGCCATTGTTCTTATCGTCATGCCAACCGTCGAACCTTCCCCTCTAGGTCCTTTGCAAGGCGATGCACCCTCCTTCAATTTCGACACAAGGGTGTCCTCTGGTCAAGATGGGTAATTGTTTCTTGGGCATCATGCTTATTCCAAAGATTACCTTCGACTTGATAAAATATCCCTCTTTCTTTTTCATGCAGGTCTAGACTTGATAAAAGATTACCTTTGAGGATAAACAAACTCCTCCTCCGGTCAACTTGTGAGCTCGACTGATGTTGTCCCCTCCGACACTCTGCTAGCTTTTATTCCTCCCGATGACATAGACCCTATAAGCTTCTTTGATGACGAATCTGCTAAAGATGACATTTTTGAGGTCCTAGAGAATTGGACTAGCGAAACCTCAACCTCGGGGAAAACCCAAGGAACTGTTGCGAGCTTTCAGCCTCTATTATCTTCCTTCCGTTCGAAATCCTATGTGGATCATCTCGACCAAGCTCTCATGGATCCCCAATTCAAAATAGAGATTGAGCAGATGGTTGATGATTTGAATGCATTTCCTGATCTTCCTCCGGAGGTAACCACAGAATTAAACGAATATGCGCACACTTTCGCTGCTGCCTCCGAATTGTACACAAAGAGGTCCACTTCGAATCAAGAGATGGCTCAGATCGAGGCTGATACTGAAGAGGATCGAACCCAATTGGAAAAGCTCAAAACAGAACTTCTTTCGATCAAGGACTCCACTTCTCAGATACTTCCAGAATTGATGAAGCTTAAGCAATCTGAGGAAGAGACGAAGCGTACCCTTGCTGTCCTGCAACGAGAGCTTAATTCGATCAAGTCCAAACATACCGCTTTGAAGCTTCAATGCCAAGAGATCATGTTGAAGCAAAAGGGTTTACGGGAATAAGGAAAAAGCATATCTCTCAGGCTCTCGAAGTCCCTGGATCAAAAGAGAAGATTGGAGGTATTGTGTGCTTCGCGGAAACAAAGTCTCGATCAGGCCTATCAGGTATACAAAGCACTCAAATCCAAATTCTACATGTGATCGAGAAACTGAGAGATGCCTATTTATATTTTAATATTTATTCGCTTGCACCTTTATTGCTTATCTTTTTGAACACTCGTCTCAGTACATGCTACTTTCATGAAATTTCTTCAAGTATTTTCCATTGATCACTTTACTCGTATTTCTCGAATTTATCTCTTTGATCAAATATGCGTTGTTCGAGTAGAGTCTTTCAATGACGAACGGTCCTTCCCAATTGTAGGACCATTTACCACGATCTCGATATTTATGGTCCATTGGGAGGATAACTTTTAAGACTTAGTCTCCACTTGAAAATTGTTTGCTCCTGACCTTTTTGTTATAAACTCGAGCTATTTTCTCTTTTTGATGAATGACATTTTGCATGGCTATAATTCTTTCGTCATCCACTCGAATTAGTTCTTCATACATTAAATTCCAATAATCCTCGACTGGTAACTCATTTTGCCTTTGTACGTGAACAAATTGTAAATTGTAAGTTGATATCAATAGGCAAAATCGCTTCATGACCATAAACGAACTTGTATGGCGTAGTTTGAGTGGCATTCCTTGGTGAATTTCTGTATGCCCACAACACTTGCATTAATGTTTCATGCCAGTTTCGAGGTTTCCCTAAAATATGTTTCTTGATCAAAGTTATGATCACTTTGTTAGTAGCCTCGACTTGGCCATTAGCTTGTGCATAGAAGGGTGTTGAAGTAACCAGTTTGATTCCTCTTGACTAAGCATATTGCACCACTTTTCGACCTGTGAATACTGTGTCTTGGTCTTTCGTTATTGTCTCGGGTATTCTGAATCGAAATATAATGTGGTCTTCAATAAAGTCTATCACCTCTTTCTGATCGACCTCTTTCATAAGAATAGCATCCACCCACTTCGTAAACTAATCGATGGCCACAATTATGTACTTATGGTTCTTAGCTGAAGGAGGATGGATTTGACCAATTACATCAATTGCCCAACCTCGAAATGGCCAAGGTTTAACAATCGCGTGCAACTCAGTTGCTGGTAATCTATGTATTGGACCATGCTTTTGGCATTCCTCGCAACCTTTTGCAAATTCGACACAGTCTTTGAACATACTTGACCAAAAGTATCCTTTTCTGGACAAAGTCCACTTCATTTTCTCCCCCGCTTGATGAGCACCACAAATACCTTCATGTACCTCTGCCATGGCTATGTAGCTCTCATGATTTTCGAGGAACTTAAACAAAACTCCATCGAAGCCTATATTGTATAGTTCATCATTCAATATCACATAATTGAGAGCTCGATACTTAATTTTTCTTTCAGCTTGCGAATTTGGCCTTCGCAGATCCTCGATTAGCTCTTTCCTCCAGTCCTGAATGGTTGAGGGGTCCATGGTGAGGCATTCGTGCTCGTCACTCAACTCATTCCTTATACAAACAAGAGATTCGAGACATTCCCTACTTATCTTGTACCCGGATGAGATCTGAGCTAATTCATTCGCAATTTCGTTCTCATTACGAGAGATATGTTCTAATTGGACTTTGTCGAATGAATTTAACAAAGTTGTAGCTCGAGACTTGCATTCGAGTAACTTTTCATTCATGCATTTATATTCCCAAGTTAATTGTTTAATTACGAGTTGCGAGTCACCTCGAATGATTATGTTCATTGCCCCCAAATCCTTAAGCAATTTTAGCCCAGTAATCAATGCTTCATATTCAGTTTCATTATTCGAGCATTTGGATTTCGTTCTCAGTGAGAATTTGGTGGGGATCCCAACTAGGGCAATAATCAGTAATCTGATTCCTGCTCCTAACTCGTGTTTCGATCCATCGAAAATAGTTCCCATGATTTTGTGGTTAAGTAATTAACCTATTCTGTTAAATTCGAGTGATCCACGAGAAAATCAGCAATTACTTGTCCCTTTATGGCTTTGAGGGGAACAAACGTTAACGAATACTCGGTCAGTGCAAGTTTCCATTTTCCAACTCGAGAATGAAGGATAGGTTTTGATAACATATATTTAATCACATTATTTCGACAGAATACGAATACATCATAAGGTTTAATATAATGCTTTAGCTTTGTACAAGCATAATACAAACTCAGACATAACTTCTCTAAAGGAGTGTATCTGATTTCTGCCTCGACTAACATCCTACTGATGTAATAAATGGCCCTTTCAATACCATTCTCGTCATCTTGTGAAAAAATGCCCGCAATAGTCGAATCATTGGCCGAGACATACAATTTTAGCCTTCTTCCTTCAGAGGGTGGCACCATCACCAGAGGATTGATTAAATAAGTCTCGATCTCCTCGAATGCCTTTTGATGATCTTCGTCCCATCGAAATTCTTCCTCCTTTTTCAGATGTAACAAAGGGGAAAACACCTTAGTCTTTCCTGATAAGTTCGAAATAAATCTTTGAAGGAAATTTATCTTACCTAACAAAGACTGTAACTCCTTCTTATTCGAAGGAGGCTTAGTTTCCATGATTGCCCGAGTCTTGTTCTTATCTACCTCAATGTCTTTCTGGTGTACGACGAACCCTAGGAAATCCCCTGCTGAAACACCGAAAGCACATTTCAATGGATTCATTTTCAGCCCATGTTTCCTCATTCTCTCAAAAGACAATTTCAGGTGTTGTATGTGATCAACTTTTCATTTCGATCCGATCACTATGTCATCAATATAAACCTGGACGAATTTTCCGATCAGGTCATGAAAAATTAAATTCATTGCTCTTTGATATGTTGCCCCAGCATTTTTCAAGCCAAAAGTCATTACTACCCATTCTTAAGTCCCCAAAGCACCTTGGCACCTAAAAGCAGGTTCGACACATCATTTTTAGCAATATAAATCTTTTTTTACCCATAAGATCCATCTAATAAACTCAAAATTTCATTACCTGCGACGACATCAATCATTGTTTCCGTAATAGGCATGGGATATGCATCCTTAGGTGTGGCTGGATTCAAATCTCAAAAATCGATGCATACCCTCATTTTTCCATTCTATTTTATAACAGGCACAATGTTTGATACCCAATTGGCATATCTCGAGGTACGAATGAATCTGGCCTTCAGTAGCCTCTCGATCTCTTCTTTGATTTTTTTTATCACCTGCGGAGCAAACCTTCGTGGGTTTTGTTTCACTGGTTTCTTCCCCAAAATCATAGGTAACCTATGCTCTACTAAATTTTGATCCAAACCAGGCATTTCTTCGTAATCCCAAACGAAGCAATCTTTATGTTCGTCCAAGACTTGCACGATTTGCTCTTTAAAACTCTCCTTCGCCAGTTTGCTAATATAGGTGATTCTCCTCTTTCCGATTGTACCCAGATTGATTTCCTCCAGAGGATCCTGACATTCCACTTTAAGCCTATCATTTTCCATTTTCTTGAGTCTTTCTTCGATTCTTTCAGAGTCCCCACTTTGTTCATCCTCAATTCCTACTCCAAGAGACTCTTTCTCAGTTGTTTCGATTAACACTTTTTGGTTTTCCTCTTTTTCTTCAACCTTTGTGGCCATTGTCTTTTCGACTTTCATCGAATGTATGCCCCCTTAGGCTATTTAGACCTTATTACTTTCATCGGCCTCGTTGGTCGTTTGTTCGGCCATGTAGGCCAAAATTTGAGCTAAGAAGGTCGAACAAGGATCCTGTCTCATCATTCTCGCACTTGAGCCGATTCTGTTTCGGCTCTGTGAATAACAAATCCCCTTCGAACATCCCAATAGAAAGTCTTCTTAACACCCTCTTCTTCCTCTAAGACATATGGATCTAGGGCATCGAAAGGCTTAGTTTTCGTGAATGCGGTAATTTGTTGATCCGCGAAATACATTCTCGTCTCATACTCTTTTTGATCTGCATCCAACACTTATAAGTGTTCATCATCATTCTAGAAAAAGACTTTCTGGTGCAATGTCGATGGTATTGCTCCCATTCCGTGGATCCATTCTCTTCCTAGCAGCACATTAAAGTTAGCTTTCAAGGGAGTAACAATAAACATGGTGGTCCTTTTCACACTACCAATTTCGACATCCAACAATATCATCCCTTCTGGTTGTGAAGATTTTCCCGCGTAGTCAGAAATAAGGATATTGTGAGGTTTTAGATCTGCCAAAGTCTTCCCAAAACGTTTCAACATTGTTTGTGGGAGTATGTTTATAGCAGAACCTCCATCCACCAGGACTTTGTTGACTTCAACCCCCTCGATCATAAGGGTCAACAATAATGGTTTCAGATGGTCCTTCATCTCTTGGGTAGGTGAATCGAACACGCCTGAATTAAACTTTGGAATGACTCGAGAGATTTGATTCACCCATACTATCATTGATTTGTAGTTGGGGTCCCTGAAAAAATCTTCCCTATGTATGTCCTCCTGTTCATTCACAGATTCCATTTGACGAAACTACTTGGAGAAGATTGATGTTTTTCAAGTTGAACCATGCTAAGTCCTTTCTTCTCTTGAGGTTCTTCACGTCAATGGAAGATTTGGATGACTTCAAGCTTCAAAAGCTTGAAGATGCTTCCCAAGGTGGTTCGGCTTCTCTTGAAGGAGAGAAACTTGAGGAACCAAGCACAAAGGAGAAGTTCCTTTGTGAAGCTTCTAGGAGAAGAAGATTCTCCACAAAATTGGACTCTTGAAATGAGAGAGAGTTTCTGAGTTCTAAGGTTGTAGCAAAGGGTCAGAAATCACACACCCACAACACCTCACACGCACTCCTTGCCTGCACATAAGGCTTACGTGCATACGAGAACATCTGGGTACGGTTTCTCGACCACCTTTCTTTTTTCCTTTGTAACGTAGCATAGCGTAGCCTAGTTTAGTGTAGTGTAGTCATCTAAATTTTTTTCGTTATCCTTACGAATTGTAATTCTGTTGTCAAATTTTCTCAACCTTTCTTTCTCTGCTCGAATTTGTTCAATTCGTCTCACTTTCTCTGCTAGTTGAGCCATATCTCTCAATTGCTCATTCACAAGTTTCTTTTGAATCGAAAAATCTGACCCAGTGGCTGCAATCTTTACCAACTCATGCTCAGGAATATTTGTGTAACATCGAGACTTTAATTTCCTGAATCTATTCAAATATTCATCCAATGTCTCATTTTTAGATATTCATTACTCACCAGGTCTCCACACTCGACTAAATATCTCGCTTTATGTTCTACGGTGGATTCAACTAACTCCCTTGCGAATTTTGAGAATTTCGGGACTTTCGTCCCCTTGGGTAGTTCAGATTGGGTGATATAGTTAGGAAAGGCATACACAAAGCAAGGGTGCTCATTTCTCCCTGTTTCAAATCAGTGCCTATTCAGTACCCTCTCGACTATATGATCCAGATTCTCCTCGACGTTTCTCAGAGGTCCCCCTTGATTGAGGTGAATTCGAGGTCTAACAATCCCTAGAATATTTCTTTCATTAACGATCAGATTTTCGAAACCGTTCAAATTAACACTCGTATCTCTTAAAGGCCGATTATCATTGATTTTATCTCCTATATTTTTTCATCAGCTCATACAAGGGTGTGAGTATGTTGTGCATTTGCGTAGACAACAAATTTACCATATCATGGTTATTATGATCCATTTGTTGTTGAAGGGATATCATGGCTTCGCTGCTTATACTCGTGGGTATATAATTACTTTGTCGCACCAACGACCCTTCTTAGCTTGTGCCAACATGCTGGTGAGGATCGTGCATGATAAAGCCCATCCCATTTGGGGCTGCATTATACCCATATGATGATATTTACATTTGAGGATTTTGCCCAGAATATGGTATTGGCATTTCTACCCTCATGGGCTGGGTACTTTTCCAATTCGGAGGCATCCCCCATGAGTATTCGCGGGTAGCGTTCACCATTTCTTGTGACGCATTTAGAAATCCCGCGGAGTTCGAAATACTTATAGGAGGTGGAGACATTGCCCCACTAGTCTCATTTGCCACATTTTCTTGATTTGTATTATGATTTTCTCTATTACCCTGCTCTTCATTATGCACATCTCTTCTGTTGGATGTAGACATAGTTCTCTCACTTCTAAGTCTCATTAAAATATAAAAACACACAAAACTAGATCAATTAGTTCAATTAATTTCACCAAACGAGTCCCACCGGGCGTGCCAATTTGTTTGTGGAGGATTTCATTCGTAGGTTCTTTTTATTCGAACTAGCAGATTTCAATTTATGCGTGTTCGTGACATGACAGATTCGAAGACTTTTAGTGATAAAATTGTACAAACAACAAATAGAGTTAATTTATAAGGGTGTTTTTTTTAGCATAACAGAATATCAATGCTTTTTGTTTTAGCATAACAGAATATCTATGCTAATCATACAATCAAATTCATGCATGTAAGTGTTAACGTGAACCGAACAAATGACATGTATATTGACTGCAGAAATCATATCCTTCATTAACAGAATTACAATTCGTAAGGATAACGAAAAAAATTTAGATGACTACACTACACTAAACTAGGCTACGCTATGCTACGTTACAAAGGAAAAAAGAAAGGTGGTCGAGAAACCGTACCCAGATGTTCTCGTATGCACGTAAGCCTTATGTGCAGGCAAGGAGTGCGTGTGAGGTGTTGTGGGTGTGTGATTTCTGACCCTTTGCTACAACCATGGCTCGTCAATTTATAGAGATTTGGGAAAGATAAATGTATCTGACATGCTCCGAAAATACATAACCGCTCTAAACTTCCACATCATGGCTCATTCTTGGGCACGTCTTTTGATAACTCCTGGAATCGTTCATAACTTCCCCAAACTGCTCTACAGTCTTTGAAACTTATCCCATGATTTACAACCGCTCT